TCCACGGCAGCACTAGTCTTAACAGCCCAAATTTCTCGCTTAGCACCTTTGGTAATGATAGGTAACTCATGAAGTTCCCATTTTCTAAATGGAATAACAATAGGACGGTCCCCTTGTATTTGTTGCATTAGTTGTAGTTTTATTTCATCATTGGGATATATGTGCTTGATTTTAAGTTCAACAGTGTCAATCACTATTTTAACAGTTGTAGTTGTTGTTGTTGATACTCCACTTACAGCGCTTGATTTTTCAGTAATAGATATACAATCATTATCACTACGAGCTCGAACTAATCTAATCGTTTGTCTTCCGCAGGTAATCATAGGATAATCATTGAAAATATTGAATATGTGTTTCATCGGTATCAATAAACTAAATGATTTGTCAGCTTGATTTAGAACTGGAACGGAAGGAAAGTTCCAACCAGCTATACACATGTGATGTGAATCATCGCTATTATAACAGGTTAGAGCTCGAACGGTGCTTACTATACCAGGATCACGTACAGTTTCCATCTCCCTTGCGCTTTCGCTGTAAGTGCAAGAATCAAAGAGAAACGCTCCAAAATTATTAGCAAGATTCACCTCTCCTCCACCGTTAACATCCAGTTTTCCTTTAACACATAATAAGGTTTCGTTCATAGCAAAAAATGAGTCCACTTGATTTATACTGAATTCAATAACATCATTGTTATTAAACGATTTAACAAACGGTGTATATGACCTATATTCTGCTTTTCTAATAGATTCATCAATCTTCGGTTGGCGGTAAAGATCAAAAATCGGAGCTGTTAACTCACTCAAACGAAGACGTTTAGCTTCAACATGATAACGTTTATCATCATCATGTTGACGTTTTCTGAACATGATGAGTGTTGATGATTTTATATCCAAGAGACTCTAAGAACAATTTGTTTGCTAACGTTAGCATATGATCTTTACCACTGAATGGTTTTTTCAGTAATGGACTATAATCTGTACTGGATTCTCTTTTATAATTGTTGTTAATGTTATTGCTGATAAATACTAGACCCATTTAGACTTCTTTCAACTCCAAACCTAAGATACTTTCTTCACCACGAAAATTAATAGGTCGAAAATTTTGGTCAAGTGCTTGCACAGTAATATTGGTGATTTCACGTTGTGAAATAATTGGTAAATAAATTATATTTTTTGGTGTTTCGTCGATAGCAAATCCTGGATCAACGTTGATAGAAAATTCGTATATCGTATGAGCAGGTCTATCTCTGTAGAATGATCCTGTTGTAATGTTACAATCAAAGTGTATCGTACGAACTTTTATAATGTTGACAGGAAGATCTGAACAATGTAGTATGTTTGGCTCCAGTACTCTATTTGAAAATCCTAATACTTCACCTAGGTTATTATTTAACTGGAAATCAATTGCGTGTTCTCTGCTAAATATTTCACACTTTAGAGTATTATTGTTAGGCCTCAAATAAAACGAATTGGGATTCGAAATATGTCTCTTAATAAAACGTTCAATATCACTGATTTCGTAGCAACCTGCGGGAAATTCAATTTCTTTTAGTTGAGAACGATTATTATTTTCGTAGTAGGAAAACTTTTGACCAGTTTCAATGTTTGGTATGGTGTTATATGAATAGAAATACAAAAATGCAAGTTGATAGTTTTTTTGAGGATTTAGCGTAAGAGGTGTTGGAGGTTCGTAAGAAAATATATTGGTGCGACTTGTTAGAGTCAGTAGACAAGACATGACTGATGCATTTTCCGTTATGTAAAACCTTAAATAATACATCGTGCATAAAAAACAATTTATTTATATTTATTTATACACAAAAAACAAGTAGATTTTGGTTGCGGTGGTCCATCCCATTGATCTCCAGAAATATTATAATGCTCTGTACAAGGTAAGTGTTGTGTAAGTTGAAAATTTTCTTGATATTCTTGAGGAAGAAGATGCCAAATATCACTTAATTCTGCTGATGTAATATTCTGTAATAACATCCTTAATGGAATTCGTGTTAGAATTTTGATAAGAACGTTAGACTTTTTAACATCAATAAGATCCATTACACAAAAACTTTAAACAGAGGTGTCCACAATTTATTTGATTGTATGTTTGGTATTGATTATTATTATAAAAAATTTTAACTTTACCCAAATATTTAACAAGTTCTTTCATCGGCTTCAAATTACCGAATGAATCAAAGTACTCTACATTATTATTTATCTTTCTATACGCTACCCAATGAGTGCCATTGTTTTTCGATACATCCAAATTTACGATGGCACTTTCTCGCTGTAAAGGACCTGACTTAGGTAATGTATCACGCATGAAAACTCCTCGAAAATTTGGAATTTTTAATTGTGTACTAAAATAAATCAAGTCTGAATCGTATAACGGTCTATTGGGTAGCTTCACTGTAAGTTTTTTTGTTTTTTTAAATACAATCCTAGACCTCCTCTTGCGCTTTTTCTTAAGTACAATCCTGATCCTTTAGCACCAATGGATTCCATAGCTGTATTATGACGATGATCTTCTTCAAGTTTTTTCTTAGCGTTCTTTGCATCAATAACTGTTTTCGCTATAGCGCTAGCACCTCCAGTTAGTGCCCCTAAAGCGCTGAGACCAGCAAACAACGGGATTAGCGGTAAAAAACCTCCAGATTTTAATGGTATTACCCTAGGTATTTTAACTCGCTGTTTACCTGTTTTTTTAACAGCGGTTCGTGCTGCTTTCATAGCGATCATAGCAGATTTTTTTAACGTTGATGCTGGAGGAGACTTCTTCATCGATTTTCGTATTTTTCCAACAATATCTCGATGAAAAGATGGATTTTTTTTACCCATACCTAATTTCCGTTTGGTTTTCATTCCTGCAGTTACAGTTAAAGCTGCTGCTCTCTCACCTAATGAAGCTTCCCTAGATTTAACTCTTTCCCAAGCTTTATTTTCTAATATTTGGTCAGCTTTGTGTCTGTCTTCTAAAGATTTGAATTGCGAGTACGCTATATCGTGTTGTTTACATGCAGCATCTAAAGGATTAATGCCTGCATCTCCACGTGCAAGACGTTTTTGTAGTTTTGTACCAGGTCCACAATATTGATACCCGGGGAGATGTAGCTCAAAAGGTAATTTATTAATGAGACTATTTACTAGACCTTCACCCTGATACAACAACATTAAGAATAAGAATGATAAGTTTACATAACAACATCTCCATTTAAACATATTATTTTACAATTAACTATCACAAGATGAAGGTTGTTCAGCAAGAGCAGACGCTACCAATAGAAAACCTAGATTTTCAAACGCGACAGGTTTTGAGTAAACATGGTAAATTATTACCAAACTCGTTTCGCGCTATCATATGTGGACCAAGTGGATGTGGAAAAACAAACGTGATGCTTTCGCTACTTTTCAATCCAAATGGAGCGAAATTTAAAAATGTCTATGTTTATTCGAAATCGCTATATCAACCGAAATATCAGTTGCTTCAAAACGTCTTAGAACAAGTCAGAGGTGTGGGGTATTTTCCATTTAAAGATAACGAAGAAATCATCAGTCCCAATGATGCTAAACAAAATTCAATTTTTATATTCGATGATGTTGCTTGTGATGGTCAACAGAAAATTCGAGAATATTATGCTATGTGTAGGCATAAGGATATTGACGCATCATATCTTTGTCAGACATATTCAAAAATTCCAAAACAATTAATAAGAGATAATTGTAATGTAATTGTATTATTTAAACAAGATGAAATTAATCTAAAGCACGTATTCGATGAACATGTCTCACCTGATATGATATTTGATGAGTTTAAACATATATGTTCCCAATGTTGGTCAGAAAATTATGGAACTCTAGTAATTGTAAAAGATTTTCCGCTTAACAATGGTAGGTATCGTATGGGTTTTGATAAGTATATAATGATGTAATCTCAGACATCATCATTATTAATCATCAATATGTCCGATGATCGAGTTGCAAATGCTCTGCGTAAGAAAAAAGTTTCTGAGCTTGCAAGAGCTATTCGACAAAAATATTTAGCATTAAAGCTAGGTAGATCGGAACAAGATGAAACAGTACGTAAACTATTTAAACCAATTTCATCACCACTTATAGAGATTGTAAAATCTTCAAAATCTTTAAATCAGTCCTTAACAAATTCAAAAGTTAAAAAAGAAGAGAAACCTGAGATTAAGGAACTTTTTCAAACAGGTGTTAAAGATGTACCTGAAACTAATGATGATGATGTTTTTCATGAAAGTGAACATGAAACACAACAACAACAACAACAACAACAAGAACAACACTTAGGGAGTACGAGTGAAAGTGAAGAAGCGATTAGAGAATATATAGCCCAATATCCTGAACTTACTCAAAAATACATTAAAGATTTCTTTAAAGGTGGTAGTAAAATTGATACTCGATATGGTCCAGCATATGATCCAGAATTTGAATTCACGTTAGGAAAAAGACGGATTAATTTCAGCAAAACAACTGGTAACATTCAAGTTTTAAACGATGATGGAACAATATTGTTCAATATTCCAGATAGTAATACAACAGGTGTATACCAACTGCTGTTTTACGATGAGCCTAAATTTGCTTCTGATGATTTAGTTGCGTACAAAAAGTTATTAGAAACTACTGGTGCTCATAAGGATATAACTGACCGGATGAAGGGTTCACAAAAAACTAAATATTTAAATATTATAAAACCATTGTTTTCAAAAACTAAAAATGCATCTTCATCAACCTCATCAAAAAAACCTTCAGGAAAAGGACTTCCTTATGATAATAGCTTAATTTACAATCAGAAGCCGGTAGAATATATTTTTTGGGATGACGTTAATGAACTAATCGATCGTTTAAGGTTGTTAATAGCATCGAAAGATGCAGGAAATACTTCTCACAATAACGAAATAGTTGCCATCATCAATGAGTTAAAAGAAGCTAACATTATCCAATAAAAACAGAATGCTGTATTAACAGTTACACATTAACATTATGAGTCTCGACAAATTCGGACGTGCATCAGAAGTACGTAAATCTCGTAACTTAGTTGCGTCTGCTAGCATTGGTTTAGCGCACACTCCTGATGGAGATACTGATATTGAAAATTTAAAAGTTTGCAACGTAAAGACACCTACTTTAAATACTGATGCTGTTAATAAAGGATATGTTGATCAACATCTTAGAAATGTCAGCAATGAGGTAATTAACAATAAACAAATATTATCACAACATGAGAAACAAATTAAACTACATGGTAATGATGTAAACGGTTTAACTAAACAATTACATGATCTAAAAGAGGAGCTACATACAACAAAATTTCCTACTTTCGAAAAACATCTTAATGAAATAAATGAATTTATTTCAAGAAATCCTCCTACCGCCTCCAAACATATGGCGACAAAAAAGTATGTGGATGATGTGATTGTAATAACAAAAAAATTTATTAGAGCTGATTTAAAAAAGGAAGTGACTATGTTCACAGATGAATTAAATGATAAAATAAAAACTAGTAATGTTAACTTGACGCAACTAAATATACTATATCAAAACCATATTGACGACATTAATAGAAAATTTGATATTTTATATAAGAAAGATTTTAAACAACTTCATGATGATTTAACGACACAAATTAATAATTTAAAATCATTGGTGATGATGCCTAAAGAAAATTTGATGCACACCGAATTTTAACATTTTAAATGTGTTTGATTTAATCAATGTTAAATACTACATAAAAAACTAATATCGCTTATTCATCATCATGACTTCGAAAGAAAAGATTCAGCTTGTTAATGAATTACATAAACCAGCTCGAAAAAATTATCTTAGGCGACGTACAATAATTAAAGGTTTAGATGACTTATGGCAAATGGATTTAGCTGAAATGAGATTGTATTCACATCAGAACAGAGGTTTTAAAATGATTATGGTAGTAATCGATTGTTTTTCAAAATTTATTTGGACTCGACCTTTAAAGACGAAGACAGGTGAAGAGATTACTCAAACGTTTTCAGATATACTAGCACATACAAAACGGTGTCCGAAAAATCTTCAGACTGATCAGGGAACTGAGTTTTACAACTCTAAATTTCAAAGCTTAATGAAAAAACATCATATTAATCACTATAATACGTATAGTACGAAAAAGGCTGCTATGGCTGAAAGAGTGATAAGAACACTCAAAAATAGACTATATAAATATTTTAGTTTAAATGGTACCTACAAATGGATTGACGTTTTACCTGAAATTACCAAATCTTACAATCATACCAAACATTCTTTGATACAATGCAAACCTTATGAAGTGAACAAGTCTAACGAGAAAGAGATTTTAAATAAATATTATAGTCATTTAAAAAAAGTCGGTCCACGAAAATTGAAAATTGGAGACATTGTACGCATAAGTAAAGCTAAACATTTGTTTGAAAAAGGTTATACACCTAACTGGACTACTGAATTGTTTAAAATAGCTCAAGTTAAAATTACAAATCCCATTACTTACCTATTGGAAGACATGGATGGTGCTCCGATTAAAGGTGCTTTTTATGAAGAAGAATTACAGAAAACTGCTCATCCTGACATTTATCTTGTTGAGAAGGTATTACGTCGTAAAGGTAATAAAATGTATGTTAAATGGCTTGGACTTAAAGATAAGAGTTGGATTAAAAACAGTGATTTATTATAGAAAATTATAAAAAAAACGGATAAATTTCTATAAATTAGAGGCCTTGACCTTTTATGCTAATTTAATTTAGCAGCAACGCTCATTATGGGGTATAAATAAAATCTGAAATTGTCTTTGATTGTTAGTCTTCAACATGTGTTCCCAAGAAGATAGTGAAATCGAAGTAACTTTAACAAATAGTGATAGTGGTGATTCGATAACAATGGAAGAATATGATCATGACTTAAATGAAATTTTAAATAAGTACGAAGAGGCTGCTCAATTAGAAAACCATTACCTATTACATTCAATATTTCTAGCAGGAGGATTTCAAATTGGTTGTGGTATTAGTCCAGCTAGAACATTTAGTCCAGTTATAATTTTAACTCAACCATATAAATTATATAAAATTTCGTTTGGCCTCTACGAATGGAATACGTTTACGGAGATGATTAATCAAAAACTAACTAGTTTTTTCAACGAGCCGCTTGATCAATATCCAGATGAATATGATACAGTTACTTTTCCATGTGGTGATTTCTGTAAAATAAGTCAAGTTGTTTACGATTCTACAAAATTTCTTGAAGTATGTAAACATAACATCAATTTTTACTTAGCTGAAGAAGATGCTATATCCATACTAGATGTGAACACGCAACTTTTATCACATCGAATAAATATGTTAACAAACTTAAATTTTTGTGAATATTACTATTATATTATAGATTTAGTAAAATCATATTTTAAGGATAATAATAATTATAATTACCTAAATGCTCTAAAACTTTTATATGGTTTTTGTGATGGGTCAGGTAATAGTATGTTAAGCAATTCTCTTAGAGAATATATGTATTATTATAAAAATGATGTAATTAAAAAATTAAATGAATAAAGTTTTAAATATAGTTATTAATATTATTTTATTTGAGTAGAATAGTTTTTAAAAAAGGTAGGTTGTATTTATCAGGAAAACAGAAATGAAAATCGTAAATTAATTTAAAATATTTTTTTTATTTAATAATGTTATATATATATATACAATATGGAAACAAAGAAGAGTTTTTAAATATAATAGAGAGAAAGTTTGTTTTTAACCCACTACACTAAAATTTTTCAAAATCGTCTTCAGAAATATCAATATCATCATCAGTATCATTAACATCAGTAAACCTTCGTGGTTTGGAGATTTCCTTATCCTCATGTAAATTATTAACGCAATCATCTTTATACTTTATGATGAATAATACTTCAGCGAAACAGCTGTTACACCAAAATGATTTATTTTGATAAACTTTAGTTATTAGAAGATCCGTCCTACATTCATTATGATAGTGATCTCTTACAGCTATTAGATATTTTTTTAAATATTTATGTGAAAATTTAAAATTATCGAAACATGATTTACATATTTTTATATTATAATTTTTGAGTTTGTAATAATTAACCCACAAACATACACAATCTTCACCTTCTTCAAAAATGTTCTGGTCCTCCCAATCATTGTATGTAAAGGTAAGTAAAGCGTTCCTTTCAGAAGGATAGATAATTTTACTTAAATGAATCAATTTTAAACTTTTTCTTTTACGATTTTGATTGTTTTGAGCTAAATTATTAATGTATAACCATTTATAATTAGGAAATTTTCGAATAATTTCCCTTGTTATTGTCCAAGGTAATGGTGAATATTCAAAAAAATCAGCAGCACTATTACTGTTTTCGCAAATTGCTTTTATTGATAATTCTTTTAATGTTTGCATCTGTAACAAAAATAAAAATACTTAGGGAATTTTATAATGACCCCAAGGAAGAGTATTAAAAGTACCTGGTATTAAATACCGCTTATCGTCTTTAGGACTTAGAGAAATTTTTGTTTGTTCAATGCTAAATACATTATGAGCAAACGATCGAATGCAGCGTTGAGATGTCGTTTGCTCTTTAAAATCGTTTAAGCAATCCACGTAATCATTAAAAGTAATTTTATTTTTTACAACATTGTACTTAACTCCTTTTGATTTTTTAACAATTTTACCACCTTAAACCTTATAAGTATACATTTTTGAACGTAAACCTACGAAATGTGTAATAATTTTGCCTTTAGCTTCATCTTTCATTAATCCTAGAACTTTTTTGTTAACTTGAGGAATATTATAGGGGTTATCTACACAATAATCAGAAGTATCAAATTTTGATAAATCAGCTTTTATAATTTCATTATACGCATCATCACATTGTAATTCATAAATAAAACTATCTGTATCCATGTACATTAATTTACATTTTTCAACACCTAATTTTGGTAACATATGTTTGTAATGAAAATCATACATACATAATTTTGAGAGATCTAAAATTGCCATTCCCACATACAGAGGTTTATTAAAAATAATTTGGGTTTTTTTTAATTCAATAGCTACTAAATCATCATCAAAAATTGTTCGACTATGGAATCTAAAACTTGATATTAAGTTTTTAGCTCCATAACGTCCATTCCAGGAATTAACGAGTTTAACTACGCGATGTTTTCGAATATTTTCCATTGTTTTACCAAACACCGCATTATTAGCTAGTTTATAAAGATTTTTTTCAAAATCATTTGTAGCTGCAGCTCTTAGTTGAGTATTTAACTCAATATAAGGTTTTAACCAAGTTGATTGCTTGAATGTTAAAATTTTATGTATTTTTTTTAACACTAAACCGTTAGCTAAAGCTTGCTTTAAATTACGATAATGTATTGTATATCCTGATTTATCATGAAGTGTAGTCATCAGTTTATTTAACTTTGATCCTGGTGGTTTACGATGTTCAGCAGCAAATGGAAAATCTTTATGTAAATCATGTAATTTACGTGGATATTCCAAATCAACTTGAAGAATGTATCCATCTTCAGAATCATCTGGTATAGTCATAGGATCAAAATTAGTAATATCATCTACCCATCTGAATCCATCGTATGGTAGGGGTTCACACATAGCCCACCCATACAAGTTATTAACATCTAAGTACATTAAGTACTTGGATGATAATGATGGATCATAATTAGCCTTATATTTATTGTTTGCTTCCGAAAATCGGTTGCTGCAAACAGATATTCCACCTCGAATCGCTTTTTCTATAAACATTATCATGTCCATATCTTTTAAAAGTTGTAACTTACATTTCGTGTATTTAAGCATACAGTCCCAGGTATATCCAGGCATGGTATAATACCATGCTGGATCAAGCCCATACGTATGATGACATTTTTTTCTAAATTGTTCGAAAATATCTGCTAATAGTAGAACATCTGTTTTCAAATATAAGTCTGAGTAGTCCCCTAAATTTTGAATTTCAAAAGTTGACCAAACTTTTTGTGCATGAGCATACTTTTCATCACTAATAATTTCATCATTTAATTTATTATAAAAATGTTTTATTGATGGTAAAGATGTATCTTTTAATCTCTTTAAGTTATTAATATAATCATAGCAAAATACACCCTTGTTAGTTAATAATTTAAATTTATCATCATCTAAATGAGAAAATTCTTTCTTTAAAATTTTCTTTTCTGATATATCTAAAATATTAGACAACTCATCTAGGGAAGCGCCTAAAAACCTAAATGAATCTATGAAACGTAATTTTATATCATTTTCATTGGAATGTAAAGTAAAGGAAATATATTTTTCTTTATTGATGGGAAGTACATTTAAGCGGCCTGTTTTACATAAATTTTTAATCATAAAATGGCTATCATACCCACTTAAATTATGAAATACTACAGGTACAACAAACAATTTCCGATAGTTAAGATTACATGCTTGGTGTGAAAAATCTCTAAATTTTCCTGTAAAGTGATCATGGTCTCTGACAACCATATCATTTTCAGTAAAAGGTTTTTCACAGATATGACATATTTTTGCATTACTAGTACTCGATTTTTCACTCATAGGTATTATTGTTTTTATTTTAGAATTAACAAGTTTTGAAACTTGAATTATTTGATTTACAAACCAATCCATACAATCAGTACCACGGTAGCTTTTGAAAA